CTATTCACCTTTTGTCCAATTGACCAAATAAATCACAAAAATCACCAAAAATTCACCATTTTTCTCTTCATCTTGGCCGGCCCTCTCTCTCAAGAAGAAAGAAGGAAACTCTCCAAGTTCTTGATTCCGTCTTGCTCCAAATCATCAAAACAACCACTTAATCTTACTTTTGTTCCATAGAAAACCTTAAGTGAGTGTTTGTGTGGGGTTTGGTGGAGTTGTTTGGAAAGCTAAGAGGACTTTTTGCTCTCTCTCTCTTGTTTCTAAGGTGAGTTATGAAGAACCACTCTCCTCCTTCTAATGATGCTTAATTTATGTTTAGTGGTGGTATAAGATGCAACTTTATGGATTATATTGTGATTTTTGGTTGAATTGATGAAGTTTTGTAATTATTGGAGATTTTTCTGTTTTAATATGAATATGATTGTGTGGCTATGTATGATGATTGGAAATGGTGTGTAAAGGACCTAGGAGGTGGAAAAAGTGGATAATTGCAATCAATTTCTGTTTTGGAAGAAATTTTGGAAAGTTAGGGTTTATGAAATTACATTCTGCCCGGTTTTGTAGCTCATAGTTAGAGGCCGAATTGGCCTTGGATTAAAACATGAAAGTTTTATAGAATGATATTTTAGAGGTGCCTACAAAATTTCAGGTCAATCGGAGTAGCGTAGCTTGAGAAAAGTCGAAATTACCCTTGCTGTCCTGGTTTTACCCGAATTTGGGAATTTCTTCTGTAATTGGTTATTTTGGTTAGGAATGCTTCAGAATTGGTTGTTTAGGCCTTCTGATGAAATGTATCCCTATTTCTTAGCTTTCAGATGGCTTTGGAATTTCTGGATTTGGACTTATGTAGGCTGTTTTGTGATGTTTGCACTAGAATGCGTTCTGTAAATCTGTTTTTGAGGTTCTGGTATAGTAGATTGCATTTTTGACCTAGTTACACTCGAAACTGGGTTGAGTGACCTTCTGTAATATTGTAGCCCTATCTCTTAGCTTAGAAACGGTGGGTCTTGGACCTTCATCCGATAATTGTAGTGCCTTTGGTGCCATTACCGTAAAATGAGGTCAAAAACTATTTTTTTCAGGGCTAAAGCTAATGTCATTTCCGGATTTTCTGGTTTCCCCTAATGCTTGTATATGCTTATGGAACCCTATTTCAGTAGGTTTTGGCATTGGTTTATGACTTGTAATCGAGTCTTATTGTGCTTATTGGAATATTTTAGGGCTTGACTTTCCTTTCCGGTCATTTTCCTAGCTAAATGACTTGAATGATTTTAAGCCTTTTGAGCTTGGTTTTGCCCGATAAACGGTAATGTGTTCTCTTGTTCAATCTTAGGTTTCACTGGTGACTAAGGGTAATATCCGGAAGGATATTTTGCACGTTATTTTGCATAACTAGGTGAGTGTTCCTTGTTTGTTATATTCCTTGACTTATTGGCTTGTTATTATTGATTGATAATGTGTTAAGTGCTTTCAATGATTGTTAAAACGAGTTTTTTAGGCGAGTGTGTACTTTATCGCACTCGACCTAAATAAATGTGAAAATTTCAATGATTAATGATTAAATGCTAGTTGCGCATGAATGTAAGCCGTTTGGCTGAATTGGGCCCTGCCCTTCGTTACCGATCGACTCGAGCCAGAAGCGGACTCGGTCGGGCGATATGGTGATCCTGGGTGAATTTGGTATACCCGAGTATTACCTTGTAGTCCGGCCACGTCCGGATGGGTGGAGTCCGGCCAATGTCCGGATGGGTGGAGTCCGGTCAACGTCCGGAAAAGGGATGAACGAACAAAAGGATGAACGAGGGATTCTACTTACAAAAAATGTATTTTTAAACGATTGGAGGAATAAGGGGAAAAGTCAGGGGAACGAACGAACAAACAAATAGCTCCATGTGGGCCGTATCCTTTTAATGAATGTTACTATCGCTTTCCATTGTAAATGTTTCTTGAATTATTGATATTCCATGTTTAATGTATTGAATTGATTGTCCGATTATCTGTTCGGAACCTCACTGAGCTTTTAGCTCACCCCTTTAGTTTTGTTTTCCTTAACAGGGGACGGCGAGCAGAATGAGAGCATAGACTAGCCAGTCTAGTTCTTTTGTTTCTTTTGTAGTGGTTCTCGCCTAGTGCTTGGCACGGGCTGGACGTATGAAGGATTGAGAACCTTTGTATATTCGATCTTTACACGCCCGTTTGGGGATGACAATGTATATAAGTTTCGCTTTAAATTTTGGATCGTTGCCCTATTTATTCTTGTGATTTATTCAGATTTTAAGTGAGGACTGTGGTGAACGACTGAGTCCCGGCAAGAACTGGGCAGGCGACCCGCCGAACCCTTTGGTTCGCCTTAGAGGGAGGTGGGGCCGTCACAGATTTCCCATCTTGTCGAGGATGGCTGCCGATATACTCTCCGTTCCTGTTACCACTGAGGCTTCAGAATCTACCTTCAGCGCTGGAGGGAGAGTAATTGATGATCGACGAGCTTCTATGTCGGTTGAGACGGTGCAAAAGTTGCTTTGCGGCAACGATTGGATCCGCAGTCTTCATGGCCTAAAGAATAAGTCTCGTGTAAGTAATTGATTGGATGTTTTTGTTGTTGTTACAGTTGCTTTATTTCGGATTTTGATGAATTTTTTAACTTTCATACTTTTATTCTGTAGGAATCACTTGATGTGGCCGAATCAATCACATTTGAAGAAGTTGAACTTCCTGAATCATTCAATGACTAATTTGGTGGCTGTTGTCCGTTGATGTTGCTTGGGGACAGTTTATGTAATTTTTTATGTTGTAATCTGATCTGGTTTGGACAGTTGATGTTGCTTGGTGGCTGTTTATGTAATTTTTCATGTTATAATCTGATCTGGTTTGGACATTTTGGGTTGGACATGTTGTAATCTGATCTGGTTTGGATATTTTGGTGTGGACATGTGGTAATCTGATCTGGTTTGGATTACTGGTGGCTGTTGATATTGTAATGTGGCTGTTTATATAATTTTTCAGGTTGTAATGTGGACATTTTGGTGTGGACGTGGTAATCTGACCTGGTTTGCTGAAGTTTTAACTTCTTGTATTGTCATTTGGTGTAGTTTTAACTTCTTGCTGCAGTTTTAACTTCTTGTAATTTGATGTGGTTTGGACATTGTAATCCCGCTTTGGACATTTTGTTTCTCCATTTGATGGTTTTTGCTGTAGTTTTAACTTTAGACTCTGCCTTGTATTGTCATTTGGCATGGCTTGTTGAATTGAATCAGGGAAATACGAGTATTGTCATTTGGCATGGCTTGTATTGTCATTCTGGCTTCAAATGATAAATCAGAGAAAGTGTATCTTCTTGTGATATGGGTTCTCCCGTAAACGAGCTTGAGCTTCGAACTCGAGCTCGAGCTCGAAAAGCTCGACTCGAGTTTTTCGCGAGCTCGAGTTCGAGCTTCGAGCTCGGCGGCTCGATTTCAAAACTCGAGCTCGAGCCTGAGCTCGAGTTTTCTACCAACACATCGAGTCGAGTTCGAGCACCTTGTAGAGCTCGAATTACCAATCGAGCGAGCTCGAACTAGCTCGATTAGGGATTCGAGTCGAGCTCGATTGTCCTATGCTCGAGCTCGACTCGGCTCGTTTAACAGCTCTATTCCTAAGGCACTAGTAAAGAAAATAAACAGCTTACTGGCTTCCTTTTTATGGTCAGGGGATGCGAAGCAGCATTTTAATGCTAAAGTCAGCTGGAAGGAACTTTGTACACCAAAGAAGGAAGGGGGTTTGGGATTATTTGATTGGCAGCTTTGGAATAAATGTCCTATATTCAAGCTGATTTGGAATATTTGTTGCAAAGAGGGATTACTTTGGGTAAAATGGGTGCATAGTTTGTCGTTGTGAAATTCTTGTTTTTGGGGAGTGAAGATTCCCGGGGATTGCTCGTCGGGATGGCGGAAAATTTTGCAGTTAAGGCCTCTTGTTCAGGATTATATTAAGATTATAGTGGGTAATGGCAGTAGTACAAGTTTCTGGTATGATAATTGGCATCCTATTGACCCATTATACCAAAAATTTTCAATTCAGCTGTTGCCTGCTTTTGGATTTACCATGCAAGAGTCGGTTGCTAAATGCTAAGCGTATTGACTCTGCACAGTGGAAATGGCCGGTGGGAAGGAGAATCAATTCAGAACTCAGGAAATTAATGCTAGCCACTCCTGAATATTTTCTTCCTTTGCCTGAGCATGAGGACCACCAGATTAGTTGCACTGCCAATGCTTCTGACATTTTTACAGTGAAATCTGTTATGGAAAAACTGAAAGAATCAGGACCTAAGGTGCAATGGTACAATATGGTGTGGGGAAATGGAAACATTCCACGCTTTCCCTCTATTCTTTGGCTATTGTGCAAGCATAGGCTTAAGACTAAGGATAGGTTGAAGCAATGGGGGGATTCAGTTGACTCTGATCAATGTGTACTTTGTAATCAGGATGCTGCAAGTATCGATCATTTACTTTTTATCTGTAGTCACTCAAGCTATTTGGCAAAAAGTGCAGCAAATGTGCCTTACAGCGGTGCTTACGCTTGGGATGAAGAATTGCCTATATCAATAAAATAGTTACGTGTGTAAGCTGTTTTCTTGCGTAGACCAATAAAATAGTTACTATTTTGCCTAAAAAATAAAGAACTTTTATTTCTTGATTGTCTTGGTGTGTAAAACATGCCTAGGTTTCCTGTGGTGTGAAAGGAACCATGCTAGTGCTGATTGTATTGGAAAAGCTGACATTTCGTTGGATTTTGATTTATCTTTTGATTGACAATTTGAAAACGCGTTACATTACGTGCTCATTTTGATGTCTAATGTAAGACCATTAAGGCAGTCACCATATTCCAGCTTTATACGTGGATGTGGAAAATGACTCCAAAGTTCAAAATCTTCCGAGCTGACTAGTTAATTAAAGAACCTTGAAAGCAAAGGACATCATGGTTTATTTTACAATATATATCAAACATGCTATTACATTTTAATGACGAGGCCTAAACTATATCTTGCAATGGCAAATCTATGCATACAACTCATCTTCTTGGTATTTCTCCTTCCAGTTTCTGCTTTGGCTCAAAATAATGGTACTGTGCCCAATAACAGTACTTTGACTGCAGGTGAAACATCCAGTTACTGGCTTTCACCTTCTGGTGAGTTTGCATTTGGATTCCAGCAACTTCAGGAGAAGGATCTTTTCTTGTTTTCCATATGGTATCACAAGATACCAGACAAAACTGTAGTTTGGTATGTTAATACAATCAACTCGGTTCCTCGTAACTCGACCGTGGTGCTTGATGGTCAAATTGGTCTTGTGCTTCGTAACCCTCAGGGCTCACAACTTTGGACTACTGATGTCAATTCTAATCAAGTTGATCATGGTTTTATGAATAATACAGGCAATTTTATACTCAAGGGGAGTGATGATAGCTGGCTGTGGGAAAGCTTCAAATTTCCTAGTGATACCATATTGCCAAATCAAGGATTGGCAATTGGCAATTCTCTTAGCTCTCGACAGTCAGCAACAAACTTCTCTCAAGGAAGATTTTATCTCCATTTTGATGGTGACGGGAATCTAGTACTTGCTACCAGAAGTGTACCAACGAATGTGTATGATGAAGTTCAGTACTACAATAGTCAGACTTCTAGTTCCACAGATGCATTGAATTCTGGTTATCAAGTTACTTTTGAGGGCACAGGCGCCATGTACATAAGGAAGGCGATCAATCAAACACAACAGCTGAATCTGGTTGCAGAATCATTACCACAAGCATCAGAATACTATCATAGGGCAACAATAGATTTTTATGGGGTTTTCACACATTATTATCATCCTAGGACTTTTACTGGCAACCCGAACTGGACAATTTTTTGGTATGTGCCGATTAATATATGTTATATTCAAGGAGAAATGGGGAGTGGAGCTTGTGGATTTAACAGCGTTTGCTACCTCGAAGATAATGGAAGACCGGCTTGCAAGTGTCCAAACGGGTATATATTGCTTGATCCAAAGGACGCGTATGGCAGCTGCATACCAAACTCTTCTCTTGGCTGTGGTGAAGTAGAGGGCTCTTCAGAAAGCCTTTTTGATTTAGAGGTGGTCAATGACATAAATTGGCCTCTGTCCGACTATGAGCGAATATATCCTTCACAAGAACCAGTTTGTAAGCAATCTTGCTTGCAGGATTGTTTCTGTGCTGTGGCCATTTTCAGTGGCAGTGGTTGCTGGAAGAAGAGGCTGCCACTTGCTAATGGGAGGGCAGAAAGCACTGGCGGTCAGTCAAAAGCTTTCATAAAATATCGCAAAAATGATGCTCCTCCAGTATGTCAAACTCTTCCCCCAGTTGGTCAAACTCTTCCTCCAGTTCTGACAGGATCAAAGCCAAAAAACCGAGGAACTGTGGTACTTGTGGGATCTCTGCTCCTTGGAAGCTCTTTCTTCGTAAATTTGGTGTTCATTGCCACTGCTTGTTTCGGTTTTTACTTCATATACCACAAAAAGAAGGTAATAACTCATCCAAATACTGATGCACTGAATACAAATTTGCTTTATTTTGCGTACAAAGAGCTTGCAGATGCTACAAATGAATTCAAGGAAGAGTTGGGCAGGGGATCTTTTGGTACTGTTTATAAAGGTGACTTGCAAATCAGATCCAAAAACACTACTTTTGCAGTGAAAAAGTTATACAGAATGGATCAAGATGCTGACAAGGAGTTTCGTGCTGAAGTGGAATCAATAGGCCAGACTAACCACAAGAATTTGGTCCGCTTGCTTGGATTCTGTGATGAAGGGCAACATCGTCTATTGGTGTATGAATATATGAGCTGTGGCACTCTCGCGAGATTGTTGTTCAATAATCCCAAACCTAGTTGGAGTATGAGGACTCAAATTGCTATTGGGATTGCAAGGGGACTGGTATACCTTCATGAAGAATGCAATACTCAAATTATTCATTGTGACATAAAGCCCCAGAATGTGCTCCTTGATGAGTATTTCAATGCTCGGATTTCTGACTTTGGATTGGCAAAACTTTTGATGATCAATCAGAGTCGAACATTTACTAGTATTCGAGGAACAAAAGGGTATGTTGCTCCCGAATGGTTCAGGAGCAACCAAATCACTGCAAAGGTTGATGTTTATAGTTTTGGTGTCTTGTTACTGGAGATCATTTCTTGCCGCAGATGTGTGGAGAACATTGAAAACCTTGGTGAAGGAGAAAACCCAATTTTAATTGACTGGGCTTGGGATTGCTTTCAAGAAGGAAGATTGGATATGTTTGTTGAAAATGATTTAGAGGCCCTAGAAGATCAAATGATGCTGGAGAGATTTCAGATGGTTGCCATGTGGTGTATCCAAGAAAACTCTTCGCTTAGGCCTAAAATGAGGAAGGTGAGCCAGATGCTTGAAGGAATTGTGGAAGTTATCGCACCCCCTTGTCCGTCTCCTTTTTCCACTACGGGATGAGTTTAGTTCGGTACTGCTTTGTGTCATTTCAATTGACGTCTGGGGAGAGTATTTTTATGCTGTTTTTACTTTCTTGGACTTTTTTTTTTTTTTTCTGCTTTTATCCAGTGTATGAGATTTTCTTAGTGGGCAAACTTCCTGTTGGGATGGTGGCAGCGCATTTATTCAAAGTAAGATGATATAATAATAAGCTTGTTTGCTTTTTGTGTATCAATTATATTGTATTGTGGGAAAATACTGTAGTAACTATCGTTATGATAACTAAACAGTTTTTGCCTGATATAACAGGTTATTTTATTTTTAGCGACCATTTAATTACCTGTTGAATCTATCCACCTAATTAGGATAATGCCTAAAAATAAGGAAGTAAGTTTCTCATCTAAAATAGTAAGTTAACCGTAATAATTAGTATTTTTTGTGTCTCAAAAGGTAAATTGGTATAAATATGAAACTTACTTTTTAAAGAGATAAATTACTATTTTATATCGCAAACATACTTTTGAGAGAGTAAGTTTAGTTCAAGTAATAGTAAGTTTTTATACACAAATAGTAATTCTTACTTATAACATAGTAAATTTGATTAATGACCAAAACTTACTAATTTATAGCACAAATGTACTATTTTGCTTAAAAAACTTATACCAAACCAATACTAGGAAGTTTATTTGAAATAACAACAAAATGTTTTATTAATGATTAAAACTTAGTACCTTAATTAGTAAGTACTCGTAATATACTTGTATAATACATGATTAATGAAACAAGTATTAGGAAGTTTATTTGAAATAATGCTAAGATTTTTTCATTAATGATTGAAACTTAGTATTATAGTTAGTAATTACTCGTAATGTAAATGTATGATACACAATTGTATGTATCATTTATAAATGTTATATGTTTTAAGCATTTTAAATATATTATGAAACCTATTTTTTTCACATGACCTTATAAAATATGTAAGAATAATTTGTCATATTATAAATTCTTAAGTATTTTTGAATTTGTGAAAGGTTAGAAAGTTTGGATTACAATAACAACAAATCTTTCGAGTTATATATAGAATTGCACTTATCTATACATCACAATTTCCATCTATTAATACCTATGAATATAATAAAATGGTAAAGTTTTAATAAATTTATTTTTTTGGGTCACAACTATAAAAATTAAAGTTATATTACAATTACAACAAATCTTTCTTTTTTTTTAAATAGACGAGAACAATTTATAGATATTAATGCTTGATAATACAAGAGTTAATTACAAAAAGGGGTAACTACCCCCATATCTTTCCTAGCTAAATCTGTTAACCATGTTGGGAAAGAAGTTTCCCATTCAATATTCCTAACCAACTTGACAGCGAGTTGTGCCATTGCATGACTACAACCATTCGTAGTCCTGGGAGCAAAGAGAACTAAGCAACTGTCAAAGCTATCCTTGAGGGCCACAATGTCTTCTAGGATTGTTTGTATCTTACAATCCTGAACATTACCCGTATTAATAGAGCTCACAACATTTTTGCAGTCTGACTGGACTTCTACTTTTGTCCATCCTGCAGCTTGAGCCATTTCCAGCGCACTCCTGATCGCTAACGCTTCCTCCGTGGTAGCCTCCCCTCTTCTTCTTCCAACAATTCCTCGGGCTTTCACTAATTCCCCACGCCAGTTCCTTGCAACTATCCCTTGACCAGTTCTAACCATTTTTGCTGAAACTGCTGCATCCGTGTTAATCCTCATGATTCCCTCCTTGGGTGGCTCCCAAGTGTGCTGAGCCAGTCTTCCCCTCTCGGATGATGCAGCTGCCCAGGGATCTATTCCATTTGCCTCATCGTATTTGATCCATTCCTGTTGAGCTTTGTCGATGATCCCTTTTGCATCCACACTTTCCAGCTGAAATGCCATCTTGTTCCTCGCTTTCCAGAGCTGCCAGAGGATATTTACTGTGAGTTTTATTCGATCCATTCCTTGCGCTTCCTTAGCTGATTCCAACACCGCATCCCACCATCTCTACACATTGCATTGTAGTTCAACGAGCCCTTCCCATCTCACAGGAGCTAACCTCCACACCATTTGAGCTTTTGGGCAAAAGAAAAATATGTGTTCAATGGGTTCGGTAGCCTCTCCACAGCAATAACAAATGTTGCTTCCTTTTCCAACTCTCTGACGTAGTGCTTCATTAGTGGCCAGCCCATTCTGTAAACACCTCCATAAAAAATGCTTCAGCTTCATCTTAATATTTAGACTCCCCACTCTTTTCCACACCGCGTGCTTCCTTACTTCCCAGCTAGTCTCTGAATCAGGTTCTAATCTACGGTTTATGGTGTCCCTTCCCCCTTTTGCAAAAACATAACCTGATTTCACTGTATAGACCCCAGCTTTACTATGGTTCCAATATAGTCTGTCCTTCCTATCATAAAGGCTTAGAGGAATACTAGTAATATGCTCTACATCAGCTGCATTAAACCAGTGCTGCAAGAGATCAGTCTTTCACCTCCCTCCCTCAATTAACTCATGGACAAACTCTATCTGGCATCCCACTTGTCTTGCTGTGGCTACTTTCCCAGCAGTTGATCCAGGTAACCACCTATCTTTCCAGATTTTTATCGCCCTTCCATCTCCCACCCTTTTGTATAACCCTTGTTGAAGGAGCTCTCCCCTCTTGTGCAAGCTTTTCCAGCACCAGGAAGCTGTGTGCGGGGGCTTTTGGTCTAACCAATCCTCATCCTTCATGTACTTAGGTTTCAGGACCTTGCTTACTAACAAATTAGGATTGGTGACAACTCTCCAAATTTGTTTTGCAAGCAAGGCCACGTTGAGAGCTTCCAAGTCTCTAAAGCCCAAACCCCCTTTCCCTTTAACCTCCGACAGCTTACTCCATCTAACCTAATGAATTTTATTTTCTGCAACCCCACCACCCCACCAGAATCTAGCTATGGTTGCACTAATGGCCTTACACAAGCCTTTAGGGAGCTTGAAGCAAGACATAATGTATGTAGGCATGGCCATAATGACTGATTTGATTAAAACCTCCTTACCCCCTGGACTAAGCAACTTATGTTTCCACCCTTGAAGTTTTCTTGTGATTACACTTTTCAGGTACCCAAAAATCTGATTCTTAGCTCTCCCAATAGTCATAGGTAAGCCTTAGTATTTACCACTAGAGACTTCTCTCATGTTGTCCAAGACCTCACTAATTTCCCTTCTAATCAAGTTGGGAGTATTTTTAGAGAAAAACATAGCTGGCTTATCAAAATTTACTACCTGTCCCGTGGCTTGACCATATATCTGAATGATCTCCTTGACCTTTTGTGCCTCCTCCTTGCTTGCTTTGCAACACAATAATGAGTCATCTGCAAAAAATAGATGTGAAACCATAGGGCTGTCCTTGCAGACTTTGATGCCAGTTAGTTGCTTTTTTCCCACAAATTTCTTGATTAAATTAGACAGCCCTTCCGTACATATAATGAACAGGTAGGGAGAAAGGGGGTTTCCTTGTCGGATTCCTCTGGAAGGTTTGACGTTGCCCACCTTTTGTCCATTTAAATTAAAGGAGTAGTGGACTGTGGAAATACATAATTCTGCCTAGGAATTTCCACTCCACTCTGTCATAGGCTTTAGACATATCAAGCTTTAATGTCATGAAGCCTACTCTACCTCTCCTCTTGTTGTTCAAAAAATGCAACATTTCATGAGCTATGATCACATTGTCTAGAATTTGTCGCCCTGGTACAAAGCAGATTGTGATGGGCTAATACAATGCTTGAGGACTTTTTTCAGTCTATTGGCCAAGATCTTAGATATAATTTTATAAATCACCGTGCAAAGACTAATGGGTCTGAAGTTAGTAAGCACAACAGGATTTTCAACTTTAGGGATTAAGGAGATAATGGTCTCATTGATGGCCGTTAAGATTTTGCTAGAATGGAAAAAGCTAGTCACAGCATTAACAACATCATTTTTGATAATATGCCTGTATGTTTGGAAGAATAAATGGGGCATACCATCAACTCCAGGAGCTTTATTAGGGAACATGGAAAAAATGGCTTGTTGAATCTCCAACTCAGTCACAGGTTTAATCAACTATGTGTTCATGAGACTGGAAATAGTGCGAGGTATGCCTAGCAACACTTCTTCAAATTTGGTAGGATCATTAGACTTGAAGAGCTCCGCATAGTGTTTGCTAATTTCAGCTTCAATTTCCTCTTCACTTGCACATCACACCCCATTTGTCTTCTGGAGTATGCTGATATTGTTCTGTTTCCTATTAGCCATGACACTTAGGTGAAAGTAAGCTGTATTCTTATCCCCCTCCTTGAGCCATCTGCTTCTTGATTTCTGGCTCCAATATAGCTCTTCATCCTTGTATGCTTTACTCAATTGTAGCTTCAAGTTTGCAAAAGCTCCTTTCTTATCCAGCTCACTCCCCTCACGTGCTACCCTTAGTTGCTCCTTTAGCTCCTCAATTTTTGCCTTTGTATTGCCTTTATTTGCCTTGTGCCATTCAATCAAAGCTACTCTACATTCCTTGATTCGTCTCACCACTCTAAACATTCTAGACCCATGTTGCTCCAGCTCCCAAGCTCTTTGGATAACAGCCACAGACTCCTCATCCTTTGCCCATCTCTAATCAAAACAGAACCTTCTTTTTATACCCCTTTGCTTCAGTTTAGTATCCACCATTAGCAGGCAGTGATCTGATGCTTCTTTCTCAATGTGTTCAACTGTAGTATTCTCATACGCTTGCACCCATCCAACACTCCCTGAACATCGATCTAGCTTCTCTTTTATCTCTCCCTCCCCTTCCCATGTGTTGCTCCATGTCCAAGGAACCCCTTTATACCCTATATCCACCAATTCGTTCCCAAAGATAAAACTATTGAACTCCCTAAAACTACCCTTTGATCTCTATTTCCCTCCCCATTTCTCCCCATTTGAGCAGATATCATTGAAGTCTCCCACTATTATCCATTTTTCCCCCCATTCCCTTTTCTTTTCCTTTATAGTCTCCCATTGTTGCACTCTTACTCTTTCCTCAGTAC